TGATGAGGAACAATTCAGAAGAAATGACGGAGAAGATTCTAAGAAATAGTGACTGTATGTCCAAAGGTCCTGTGGTGAGAGACAGGGTGACCCTTTGGAAGAAGTGGGTATTTTTTCCTAGGATCAAAGCCAGACTTCTAGTATACAGTGAGAAACAAGACTGGGGAGGTGAATGACACCTGCACTTACAGTCCCTTGTGAGCCACCTACTTATTTTTCTTGTAACCTTGAGTCTCTGATTCTGATCTCAAATCTCAACATTCTGTTAAGATCATGTCAGCAATGCTCATTAAGTGACTTTCCAGAATTCCTCTGGACTTCTTCCCATCTCCAAAACTATAGCCAAAGGTTGTTGCTTATTCAGTACTCAGTATGGACCAAGCCAAAGACTAATCCTACAGCTCCTCTAACCATTGTTTAGCAAACTTGGATTTTCTATAGTAAGAGGTTGCCTTGTGTTAATTTGTGTCACTCAAGTGTGAGGACCTGAAACATTTCTCCTTGACTGTCCCCAGATTTCTTGCTTTCTGTTTTGGGGTATGGTGGGAAGCTCCAGCAACCTTGTGATAATGGACTAGAAACCTATTCATGTCTCTATCCTGAGACCCAGCTCTCCAGACCAGTAAAAATCTTTGAGATTGAGAGCAAGGACTACAGTATCTCCAAGACTCTAAACTAGGTCTAATTGGTGACCCACAGGCTGAATGAATCTGAGGATAACTATGAATACAGCCAAACACAACTATAGATGACAGCATCATACTGTGATGCCCAAAGATTGAAATGCTAAAAGGTTAGGTCCTGCTTAAGCAGCCTGCATGATCAGCTGGACAAATGGAAAGATTAACAGCATCATAGGTGACTGTAGAGTATGGACATGCAGCTTTATCATTCACAGGCCCCATAACTTTGGGCCAATTCTATTCCATCTCTGAATGCCCATTTTGAGGCTTAAATGGGAAACAAAAATTGCTTTAGAGTAGTATAAGAATTGAACAAAGCCTTGGAGGAACAAAAGGGACCCCAGCTGCTATTACTTTTGCATTATTAGCCATAAGAAGAGCAGAGGTGCTTGAAGCAGGATGTTGTGTCCCTAAGAGGGGAGGAGAGTCAATTAAAACAGGCATGTGCATATCTCCACTTACTGCTACTGCCAGGAGCATGGGTTGTGCTGTTCATTTTATGTCATGTGTCTGCAGGTAGACTGCAAAATCCTTTTTATTGAGAAGTCATCCCATCTCCCACAAATGTTTATTGAGTCCCTGTAATTCCTTGACTGGCTGGAGAAAGGAAGAATGAATGAGCTGCTGATTTTGCATTACCTGGGGAGTGAGAGAAAACAGATTTCCTATAACTGTGAGGGAGAATGCTTAAACATAGAGCACAGATGGTATTTACCTTAAAAAAGTCAGTGAGGTCTTATAGGGTCTTTCAGCATCTCAGTAAGTTGATGGGATGCTAAAGGGCTATAAACAGTTGAATTTGTGCTTTCTAACCATTGTTACTTACATAATACATATTATATTATACTATAATATTATACAACATACTTACACACTATACAGATATTATTAAAAGAATCCTAGTTATTTATTGCTAATTAAGTGTTCTTTTTTAAGTTTCTAAGATTGATCTAAAGTCTGTCTGTCTCTCTACCTATGCATGTGCATGAGGGTGCCCAAGGAAGGAAGAAGAGGAACTCAGTATATACTCTTAACTGCTGAACCATCTCTCCAGCTCCTAAATGTTCTATATTGGGTATTAATTGTATGTGTATGTGTTTATGTATATAATACGAACTGTATAATATATTTAATACAATATATAATTATACGTTATTCTAATTATATAGTGTCATACATGTTACATGCATATATTATTCCTTATATAATACTGATGTTACGTGGTATTATTTAGAATCATCTTGTATGCTGATTTCAGTCAACAGAAGATTTCATGTGCAGCCATAGTCCCCTAATGTTTTAATGATTCTGCCACTTTAGGTCTGTGTTAAGGTACAACACCATGGTGGCAGTACGTGGTAGAACAAAACTACTCACAAAATATCAACCATGAAGAAAAAGAGAGAGAGGAAAGTTCAGAGTTCTGCATCCCCTTGAAAGGCCACCACTACTGACAATGACATGAAAACTTTCAGTAAGCTCCACACTCAAAGTGTTACCACCTCTCAACTATGCTGCCGACTGGGAAATAAGCTTTGAATGCACACACCTTTGGCAGATCTTTAAATTCAAATTAAAGCGGGATTTTTACAGAAGTAGCAACCAAACCAGTGAAAGATCCTTGCAAACGGTCCCTTATCCAAGACAGTGTGCATCCTCAAAAGAGGGGGAAATTCCTACACAAGAAACTGTCAGAAAGAGAAAACAATGTGAAGAGACAGAGCCAGTGGGTCGCCATCTGCAGGTCAAGGGAAGTGACCTGTAGCAAAAATCTCCCTCATAACCTATAGGAGAAATGAACACCTAGTTTTAGGAGCAGTTCTTATCATAAAAGTTACCCAGTGTGTCATGTCACTGTTGTGGCATCCCTCACAGACTGATTTAAATGTAAATCCATTTTCACGGTGGTCATGAGTTGTGTTTTGGGTCAGATGAATGTGATATGGTGTTTGGAGGAATCCACCAGATAGAGACAAATGTCAATAGCATTGAACTAAACAATGGGGGTTTGGGAAATAATTGAATGAATAAATGTCACATTTGCCCGAAGACAGAAGGAAGAAAGGGCTACAGGGATGTTAAAGTTAATCCTAACTTCTTCCATCACTGCCAGGATCTGCTCAAGCCATATTACATCAGAGATGTAACCGAGGCTGACAGGAGGGCAGGGAATCTAAAGGAGTCACTGCAGTGACTGGTGATATTAATTTTCATTTGGAAGACAGAGCCCTCTTTGTCCTATAAAATCTGGCACAAAACATTAAATAAATACAAAAAGTATACTTAGCATAGAGAGCTATGCCCTGTGTAGAGTCCATATTCTGAAATGTTGACCTCCCAGTGAACATGCCATGCCTATTTCAGGCAGCAAGTTAAAATTGCTTAGTTTAAAATGTCAAAATAAATTGACAAAGTAGAATAAAAGAAAATGGATGGAACTGGAGTCAAGAAGCCTGGGTTTGGATCCCAGCCATGCCTCTGGAAAACTGAGAGGCCTGGACCTTCCTGTGGTCCTTCACCTTATCTATGAGACACTGTTTGGGGAGGGGGCATAGCATGATCTTCTAGCTCTAACATTCAGTAAATCTCTCCATCTTGCCTTTAATTGGGACTGGTGATAAGATAACATTTCCATAAATTGACCTGCCAACTTGAATTACCCTCCAACATGAAGGCATGAAAATAAGATGATAGGCAGAAATGACTGTGACCAATGACTGGTAGGAAATTCTCCCTCCTTAAAATGGTAAATGGAGTGATGGCAGTTTCTTTTAATGCATCTTAATTACCAGAAAATTAGGTTTTACTGGAAAGTTTTGGGATGTACATACATAATTTTGTTCAATGTCTTAAATGCTGACCATATTGGTAGAGGAGATACAAATCACCCCCCTCTTAACTGCATTTATAATCCCCCCTCTATCATTTACCATTTAAACCACATGCTGACCTTTTCTTTATTTGACTGGGCATCTTTAGCCCTGGATATAATAAGTCCCCAAGGGGGAGAGATGATTAAGATTAATTGAGCATCTAGTCTGAATCACATTTTGTCCCAGGTCTTCAATCTGGTATAATACTTCATTTAGCCCTTCCCTGTGGGACACCGTCAGTCAGCCATGCATATTTGCTCCATGCAACATGCTGCAGCTTGCTGACCGAGCACTTCATTCTAGCCACAGAGCACACTTCACTCCTGAGGACACACCAAATCTGTCAAGAGATACTCCTACAATGCAGTCCTCCCCCAGTACTAGATGGAAATTAGTTAGACAAGCTCTTGATCATGGAAGTGTCAGAGCCTGAGCTCTGGATGTCTGTGATAGATATGAATTTGATAACACATGAATGTTATCACTTTCAAAGAAAGAGTGGTCAACTCTTTCTTTGGGGGTTTTTGTTTCCCTGAAGTTCCTCAAGTTGTTGACTGAACCATTGGGTTAAATCATCTGGGTTCTCTTTTGGGTCTTTTTGTGTGTAAGGGCTGTGTGTGCAAGTTCCTGCTCATAGATGTATAGAGGTGCATGTGCACATGTGTTCTTTGTAGTGATTCCTGAGGACAACCTCACATGTTCTTCCAGTTTACCAACCACATTTCTTTTGATAAAAGGGTCTCTCAGTGGCCTGGAACATGTTCAGTTGGACAGCCCTAGGGATACTCCTGTTTCCACCTCCCCAGCACTGAGGTTACAAGCATGCTCCAGCATTTTGCTTTTCTTTCTTTTCTCCTCTCTTTTTTCTTTTGAATGTAAAGGATATGTCATCTTGTTGACTCCCCTTTGGGGTAGTAACCCTGTTAGTATCTAAGATCATCTTACAAATAAAACATTTATATTCAAGTGTTTCCTCAGAATCTGTTTCTGAAAGTCAAAAAAAGACATCCTCCAAGATCCCTGTAGCATTACTGCTGAGATGTAGTTTAGTTTAGTGCTGGGGTTATCTGGCTCCTATTGGCTTTATCCCCGCACAAGTGGTTGCCAGCCAAAGCAAGTTTGTCCTTCAGGAGACAATGCTGCAATGCCTAAACATGTCTGGCTGTCACAGTTAAGTTGGAGATGTTCATTACCTCAAGAAGGTAGAGGCCAGGGATGCTGATAAATACCCTACAATTTTATCTGAAAAATGTGGATTCAAACTCAAAAATGTCAACTAAATCAAAGTTGCAAAATTCTGCCTTCTGCCCAGCAATACCGGCTGAGAGTTAAGATGGATTAAGTGTCCATAAGTGTCATGTTTTGTACTATGTTCTTGACCCTTGTTATGTAGCACCTCTCTGAGAATGGTGGAGTTTATGTGATTACTGTATGTTGTTCCCAGGGTCAAGCTGTGGCTCAGCTCTGTTCTACTGTCCCCAATGTGACTGTCTTTGGAACAGCTTCCACTTTCAAGCATGAAGCCATCAAAGATTCTGTGACCCACCTCTTTGACAGAAATGCAGACTACGTGCAAGAAGTAAAAAGGTAAGGGGTGGCTCTGCAGATCATCAGGCTGGCTCCTTCTCTTTGCTTGAAGATCATTAATATTCATTTAGAAGATAGCTAACTGTGGGGTTAGAAAGAGGGTGATTAAGATCATTTACTGCTCTTGCTGAAGATCACCATTCAGTTTCCTGCACCTCATGGAAACTCACAACGGTCTGTAACTCTAATTCAGGGATCTGATGCGCTCTTCTTTCTTTTTTGGGCAATGCACTCGCATGCTACACATACATACTTTCAGATGAAACACTTGTACACATGAAACAGAAGTAAATCTTTAAAAGATGACTGACAGTGATGATAGCAAACATATATTGGAGGCTCAGTATTACTTCTGAGGTTGATGCTTCACGTGTGTTAACACATCAAATACTCTCAGCCTCCCTGCTATTATCCCCAAGGAAGAAGGAAATCCTAAAACTTGTAGAATTGATGTGTTAATGATATGCTAACTGCCACTACACTGTCTTGACACATGCAAGTCTAATTCTCATTCATTCACACAGAAAGCTCAAAGTAGAAGCTCATCTGTAAGGGGATTCTGGTACCCAGGCTCTTTATATTTTGGTTCCATCATCATCCTGAGTCTCTTTTCCTTTGGTTCTAGCTAGAAGATGGGAAAATAGTAATAGACCATGCATGGGAGTTTTTTAATTGATTATTTCTGGGATAAATATACATATGCTGCTGTGGTGACATCTTTCTTGCACAAATAAAAATTAAGAACTCCATTTACATGCTGCCCAAATTTGATGTGACTGTTTGAGAGCAGACTGAAAACCACCACCTAGTTACACAAGCAGGCAGACCCAGCCTTCATGGAATGGTGACCATCAGAGCCTCAGTTCATATCAGTCTCTCTGGCTTGTGAACCTGTGTTTTCACTATAGAGAAAGTAACTTTCTAAACAGTAGAACTCCATAGTTAGCTGTAGGAAGAAAAGAGCCTGGAAGAGGATGTCTTAGAGATAGAGGTAACTGGCTGCATACTGAGCAAGTGAGTCCAAAGGTACAAGTGTCAGGAAAACAGCAATAAAACTCCAACAGGGTGTAAGTTCAGGGATATCTGACTAATTATAGTTTGCCTGTGATCCAGAAGCTATTGATCATGGCTGTGTGTGTCCACACAGGGAATCCCCCGGAGAACCCAGGTGCTAACACAGCTGTAGATGGTGTATGGTGCGTGCGTGCGTGCGTGCGTGTGTGTGTGTGTGTGTGTGTGTGTGTGTGTGTGTGTGTGTGTGTGTTTGTGTTTCACTTGGCTGCTGCCCAGGGTCAACTCAGTCTCAGCATTTTCGACTGAGAACTGCTGGAGGAACCAGCGGTGGTCAGGAACTGTTATTCTCTCTTCACAGCCTAACACTAAATTATAAAGCCCCAGTGTAATTAGTCACTCAGTCAGAGCCAGGAAAAAGGGATATTTTTTTTTCAAGTGACAAATGGTAAAAGGGACAAAGCTGGCTGTTCAAGCAGAAATTTGGACAAGATTTGGGTTTTATTAAATGGAGCATTTTTTTTAGAAAGGAAGTTTTTCTTTTTTAAATTTTTAAAATTTGTCAGACTGGAGCTCATTCATTAAAGTTCTTGTTATGCAATTGTGAGGACCCGAATTCAATCCTCCAAACCCAGGAAAAGAGCCAGAAGCAATAGCACATACATGTAAATCCAACACCAGGGAGGTAGAGACATGAGAATCCCTGGGGCTTGATGGCCAGCCTGCTTAGCCAAATATATCTCATGGCTTAATGAGAGGCCCAGTCTCAAACTAAGGTAAAGTTAGACATGGTGGCGCATACCTTTAATGTCAGAACTTGGGAGGCAGGGGCCGGCTCTGAGTTCAAGGTTAGCCTGGCGTAGGTAGTGAGTTCTAGTCTAGCCAGGGCTACAATAGAAAGACCTTGTGTAAAACTTAAGGTGTAGAGTGACTGAAGAAGATATTCAGTGTCAACCTCTGGCTTCTACACCCACACCTACACACACACACACACACACACACACACACACGATATAATGAAAGTATATCCCAATATTTCCAATAGGACATAAAAGGGGAACTTTTATCGAGCTAAATATTAGAAGTCTCAGAGATGAAAACATGACAGGTAATTTTTAAAAAATTTGCCCAGTCCACCTACTTTTTTACTTGAGTTTCTCAAGCTTTGGTCTGAAATATGAACTATAATTGTTCCTGCAATAATCTTTTCTTTAGACTCCTTAACTGGTATTTTTTGCATTCATATACCTACACTGGGGGTCTGAGGTGGGATTGGATCTGTGCCAAAGAGGTAGAGCTAGCAACAACCAATCAGAAAGACTCTGTACTTATGGAGTTTGGAGAGGAGACAGGAAAGGGAAAACAGAAAGAAAAGAAACTATTCAAAGAATACATTAGTTTACACTTTGCACACACACACTGGTGGAGAAAAGCAGGTTGCTAGTGGGAAACTCAGGCAGGACAATTATCTGAGAAAGAATTTTGGCCAAGAGTTGAAAGATGAGAAGTTGGCCGGGGGAAAGTATGTTGGATTAGGGAACAGCATTTTCTGAGGTGCTATGAAAACTCTGGGTTCTGAAAGGAGATAAATGTAGCTGGTTATGGAGAGCAATAAAAACAGAAAATCAGGACACCTCAGCTGTCCTCAACAAATGGCCAGGGGACTCCTGCCTGCTCCATTTCCCACACAGTGGCTCCAAATCCTCATCCCCACCCTCCTCTGGCTCCACTCAGAGCCAGAATCAGTGATTTCTACTATCAGCAAAGTTGAAGGAGGAGCATATTGGACCCATCTCATTGCCACCTGCCTTTAGAGGTGGCTTCCAATAGCTCATTTTAAAGAGAGACCAAGTGGATATGGGAAATGGCTAAGGAGCTGTGACTGTGAATAGAGCTTCTGCCCAGAAATCCTATCCTTGGGAAACAGTGCAGAGCAAGCTCAGAGTCAAAGGCACAAAGCTACTGAGTCGAGCTCTGCTTTGGCATGGTTGTCAGTGCTCAGCATATGTCAAGAGTGACTTATAGTAGGCCTGTCTGTACCAGCAGTAAGCAGACACAGCCTCTACTGTCAACAGAAGGCAAATGGTGCAGGGATTTTTGCTACACCACATGTATGTGTTATGCATCCCCTAAAAATGGCAATTATGAAGGCTGAGTCACATAAAGAAAACATGCCTGTGATAGAATTTAAAGGAAGAAAAGAGAATGCCAGATTCCATCAATACTGTGATCACTACTTGATTTAGATTCTCTGTTCAGGGGCTGTCAAATGAAAGAGAAAACATTCGGTCACATATATTTGGGAAAGCAGAGTCTTTTCTTGATATTTTCTGTATAGACATGGTTACAATAATCTATGTACAGTGAACTACAAAAATACAACAAAACAAAATTTCTTGCAATAAAAACTCACACAGACCAGCCAATTGAAGGGCCTCTTTGGAATTCACGCAAAACCAGGAAAGAAATTAGAGGGGAAAAAAACATTTATTTTTTAATGTATATGTTTTTGTATATATGTGTCCATGTATGTTTTTGTATGTGCAGGTGTGATCACACATGTGTGCACATGTGTGTAGAGGTCAGAGGACAGTCTTCACAAATATTGATACTTATCTTCAAGACTGGCTCTATTATTGGTCTGGAACTCACCATGGACTGACTGGTTAGTCAGTGAGCCCCAGGCTCTGTCTCCCAGATGCTGGAAATACCAGCTTGCTTACCACACCCAGCATTTTTGTTTGGATTTTAGGGAGCCTAACTCAGTTTCCTGTGCTAGTGAGGAATGAACTTTAACAGCTGAGCCATTTCCAGAGCTTGATGAAAAACAAAACAACTCTGATGTAGACTTTGTCTTTGCATTGGTTTTCTTATCTATGTGTAAAAGGAGATGACAGTGGGTGGAAATGGGCCAAACAGTTAGAAAACTTGAGTGCTGTGCACCTGATCCAAAGGCCTTCAAGAATAGAGAGAAAATTTCATGAAGAAGGGCAAAATAGCCCCCATGACCCTCTGGAAGGGTGGAAAGCATTTCAGCGGGAGGGAATATGGGAACAAATCTCAGAGGAGCGAGGACAGAATAGGGCAGGCAAGAGCAGCCATGCTCAGTCAGCCTCTGCTCACTTAGATGACCACTTCACAAGCATCTTGTACAAATGCCCTCCACTTCACAGATGAGAATACCAAAGCTCAGATCCAGATTTACCCTCCCAATGTGTGTGCTCAGTTTTCCCCAACTCTTTTTGGTTTACAAGATGACCTGAGGAAATATTGAGCTAGAAGAATGCATCCATCATCTTGAGTAATTTCACTGGTATGGACTTTGGTTTCTCTGAGGTGGACTGCCACGACTCATTGAACTGCACTGCACATTTTAAATCTGTCCTATTTATGCCATCAACTATAGCTCAATAAGGTTGCCTTCAAAATCAAACAGTTGGTGAAAATGGTGCACAATACTGTTTAAGACTTATGTTCATGCATTCATGTTTTATTACTTTTTATTGATGCCTTAAAATATGTTATGCCAGCACAATGGTGACCAAGCAACACATATCCCTTTTTCCTAAAATGTCCAAACTACTAGTCACAATTAATGTGATAAGCAATTGCATCAGCAACAAATAGAGACAGCCAGGGCATTTGGGAACACACAGAAGTGATATTTGACTGAAAGCCCAAAGCACACATGGGAGCTCATTTCCAGGCCTTTGCAAATTTGTTGATGTGGACATTGTCCTTATTTCTTTAGGGAGAAGCCAAGGTACAGAAGGTTTAAATAGTGTTTACATATTTACATCCACTGGGACTTGCCATATATGGCCTACTTCCAGAGTTTCATCTGTGCCCATACTCCCTAAGGCAATAGGGATGGCTCACCCCTGTGTCAGTGAGGGAACCAAGCCATCCAGCTTGAAGGCTGTGACCATGTGAGATGCTGAGATGGCAAGAACAGGCTACATCAGGGTTGTTCAGTCTCAGCACTGTGT